TATTACCATGATATGCATAGGTGTGATTTTTCTTGTCTTTGTAAAAAACTACTTTTAATATATACCATTTAAAAAACTGATTTTAGAGAGATGAAGGGAGAGAGAGAAGAAAAACAACACACTAATGTGAGAGGAAATATAGATCAGTTGCCTCCCATACATTCCCACACAAGGATCAAACCACAACCTTTTTGGTGTACTGGATGATGTTCTAATCAGCTGAGCCATGTAGCGACAGCTAAGTGTGAGTTTCTTATTATTTTTTAAAATGTATTCTTTTTTGTTTGTTTTTTCTGTTTTTTTTTATTTTATTTTTCAATTACAGTTACATTCAATATTATTTTCTATTAGATTCAGGTGTACAACATAGTGATTAGACAGACATATATTTTACAAATTGTTCCACCCAATATTTCCAGTAGCAACTTAGCCTCACATTTAGTTATTAAAATATTATTGTAATGCTACAATATTACAATATATTAATAAAATATATTTTCTATAATATACTATACATCCCAAGACTGTTTTGTAATTACCAATTTGTACTTCTTAATCATTTCAATTTTTTTAAAATAAGTCATTTTGTTCAGATTATTGCAGTTGTTCCTCTGTTTTCTCCCCATAACTCCCCTCCACCTGGTTCCCACCCCACCCCATGCCCTTACCCCCCATATTGTCCTCGTCCATAGGTGTTCGATTTTTGTCCAGTCTCTTCCCACACCCCCACACCCCTTCCCCCTGAGAATTGTCAGTCGACTCCCTTTTTATGCCCCTGATTCTATTATATTCACCAGTTTATTCTGTTCATCAGATTTTTTATTCACTTGCTTTTTAGAGTCACTTGTTGATAGATATGCATTTGTTGTCACTTTGTTGTTCATAATTTTTATCTTTGCCTTTTTCTTCTTCTTCCTCTTCTTAAAGAATACCCTTCAGCATTTCATATAATACTGGTTTGGTGGTGATGAACTCCTTTAGCTTTTTCTTATCTGTGAAGCTCTTTATCTGACCTTCAATTCTAAATGATAGCTTTGCTGGATAGAGTAATCTTGGTTGTAGGTTCTTGCTATTCATCACTTTGAATATTTCTTGCCACTCCCTTCTGGCCTGCATGGTTTCTTTTGAGAAATCAGCTGACAGTCAAATGGGTACTCTCTTGTAGGTAACTAACTGTTTTTCTCTTGCTGCTCTTAAGATTCTCTCTTTGTCTTTTGCTTTTGGCATTTTAATTATGATGTGTCTTGGTGTGGTCCTCTTTGGATTCCTTTGTTTGGGGTTCTCTGCACTTCCTGGACTTGTAAGTCTATTTCTTTCACCAGGTAGGGGAAGTTTTCTGTCATTATTTCTTCAAATAGGTTTTCAATATCTTGCTCTCTCTCTTCTAGCACCCCCATAATTCGAATGTTGGTACGCTTGAAGTTGTCCCAGAGGCTCCTTACACTATCTTCATATTTTTGGATTCTTTTTTCTTTTTGCTTTTCCGGTTGGCTGTTTTTTGCTTCTTTGTATTTCAAATCTTTAACTTGATTCTTGGGGTCCTCTAGTCTGCTGTTGATTCTCTGTATATTATTCTTTATTTCAGTAAGTGTATGCTTAATTTCTAATTGGTCCTTTTTCATATCCTTGAGGGTCTCACTAAATTTCTCAGAGATTTCTAGAAGATTCTTGAGTAACCTTATAACCGTGGCTTTGAACTCTATATCCAGTAGTTTGCTTTTCTGCATTTCTTTCATTTGTGACATGTTTCTTTGTCTCCACATTTTGGCTGCTTCCCTGTGTTGATAAAGTGGCTTTGTGTGCTATGTGTCCTATAGGGCCCAGTGGCTCAGCCTCCCCAGTCATATGAGGTGGACGCTCTTGGTGCACCCCTTTGTGGGCTGTGTGTACAGTCTTGTTGTAGTTAAGTCTTTTTAAAAAAATATATATTTTATTGATTTTTCACAGAGAGGAAGGGAGAGGGATAGAGAGTTAGAAACATCGATGAGAGAGAAACATCGATCAGCTGCCTTCTGCACACCCCCCACCGGGGATGTGCCCACAACCAAGGTACATGCCCTTGACCGGAATCGAACCTGGGACCCTTGAGTCCTCAGGCCGACGCTCTATCCACTGAGCCAAACCGGTCAGGGCTGTAGTTAAGTCTTGATTGCTGTTGGTCTCACTGGGAGAAATTGACTTCCAGACCAATTGGCTGTGAGGACCAGTTGTATCTACAATGGGAGAACTGCTGTGCTGGAAACACCCGTATGGGGCAGGACTTGCTTTAGTGGGGCTTTGGTGCTCACTCAGTCTGTCCCCTGAGTGTGTCTCTTATGGATCTGAAGAGTTGTAATCTGGTATAATCTCACACTGGCTACTGGGTACACTGGCTCTTGGATCTCCAAGGAGGTGCAAAGTCAGCCACTGCCTGAGGCCACCCAGCAGGAGCTACAGAGAGATCTGCAGATTCCTCCTCTTTGTTTGGGGTTTGGAGGTGCCCAGATGAGGTGCAGCTGTGAAGCAGTGCAGTCTGTTGATGAACCTTAGGCCTTCTTTTGGAAGCTCTGGGGTTCTTTGACCCAGCTGCAGTTTGTTAGGTTAGGTTGCAAAAGGCCAGGCCATTCATATGCAAAAGCTTCTGTGCACAGCTTGGGTGGTGTTGTAAATTGGGTGGAGCGTGGTCTCAGGGAATCACGGGGCGATGCAAACAGCAATGTTTGCCCGTTGGCCCTGCCTCGGATAGGTCCCTGGTTCTCTGTGTCCAGTGACCCCATGCAGGAACAATGAATGCTTCGAGCACCTCTGAGAGAAAGCTGCTCTCGTGTTCCAGCTCGATGCCAGACAGTCCAGTTTCTCCCCGTATGAGTCTGGGTCCCCAGAGTGTTTCCCGGAACTGGAGTTCAGAGTAGTCAGGAGTTTGTACCAATTAGAAATTAAGCATACACTTACTGAAATAAAGACAAAATCTGTTTTGTCTTTTAGTTGTAGTTTTGATGTGGTTGTGCGAGGCAGCAAGTTCAGGTGTTTACCTATGCTGCCATCTTTGTTCCTCCTAAAATATATTCTTATTGATTTCAAGATGAAGGGAGTGGCAGAGAAACATCAATGATGAGAATGAATATTTGATTGGCTGCCTTGTGTATGCCCCCTACTGGGGATTGAGCCTGACACCCATGTGCCCTGACCAGGAATCGAATCATGAAATCCTGGTTCATAAGTCGATGCTCAACTACTGAGCAACACTGGTTAGACTGATTTTCTTTATGTTTTTCTTCTTTGGGGATCATAGTTTTTGAATTTGTGGTTTGATGGTTGTCCATAAGTTTTGAAATGTTCTCAGGTATTATTGATTTTTTTTATTAATTTTTTAGAGAGACAAAGGAAGGGGGAGAGAGAGAAACATCCACATGACAGTGAAACATCTATCGGCTGCTCCCCACATTCCCCCTACTGGGGATTGAGCTAGCAACCCGGGCATGTGCCCTGACCCAGAATCAAACTGACAACCTTTCAGTGCATGGGATGGACGCCCAACCAACTGAGCCACCCTGCCCAGGGGAATTAGTTCTTTAAATATTGTCCCTTGCTCTACTCTAATATTCTGTAACAACCTCTTTTAGACATTTTTTCTGTATCCCCTATGCCTCTAACACACTTTTTTCTATATCCCATCCTTTTTTTCTCTTTGTATTTTATTCTGAATATTTTCTTTCGACCTACCTTCCAATTCACTCTCTTTAGCTTTGCCTTATCTTCTGTTAAACTCATCCACTGATTTCTTAATTTCACTTTTCACACATATTTATTTTTCTTGCTTGTTAAAGTGATTGTTTTTGTTTAAAAATCAATCAATTAATAAAATGTGTTTCAGGGCAAAATAAAAAGGAAGATTTGATAGATATATACAATGAAATACCACTCAGCCATCAGAAAAGATGAAATACTACCATTTGCGACAACATGGATAGATCTTAAGAATATCATGCTAAGCAAAATAAAAGTCAGGTATAAAAAGTTAAGAATCATATGATTTCACTTATATGTGGGATATAAATTGAAAGCAAAAAATGAATAAACAAGAAAAAGAAACAACAACTCATAGACACAGAAAGAGTATGGTGGTTACCAGAGGGAAAAGGGGTCAAATATATGATAACGGATGGAGATTTGACTTTGGGTGGTGGGCACACAATGCAATATAAAGATGATATAGAATTGTATACTTGTACCCTATATAATATTATTAACCAATGTCATCCCAATGAATTTAAAAAAGAGGGGAAAGCAGTGAGAAGACTACTCAACGTGGCTTGTCCGTTAAAGGACAGAAAAACAATAACACCCAAATACACATGCACGCATACATGTATGCTATATGCATGCAAAAGCAACACCAACAAATAACCAAAAAACCAAAGACCCAGTATTTTTCAACAGTACACTCATTCTACAACAAATGCAAATTATTATTATTATTATTATTATTTTGTTAATCTTTATCTAAGGATATTTTTCCATTGATTTTTAGGGAGAGTGGAAGAGAGAGGGAAAGACAGAGAGAAACATCAATGTGAGAGAAACACATTGATTGGTTGTCTCTTGCACGAGCCCTGACCAGGGCCCAGGCTGGTGAGTAGCCTGCAACTGAGATATGTGCCCTTGACCAGAATCCAACCCAGGACCCTTTGGTCCGCAGGCTGACATTCTATCCACTGGGCCAAACCAGCTAGGACTCCAGATTATTTTACAATGCTTCCTTTCTTAATACAAAAGATGCCCTCTTAAATGTGTGTGTATGTGTATGTGTGTATTCACTGGCTTACTGTTGACTTATTTGTAACTATATTAGTGTTACTACATACACCTGTTTCCTTTTAACAGCCTTTTATTTTATTTACTTTCATGTGACTAGCTTCCACCTACCAAAAGTTTCAGGTTAGCAGGCAAAAGGGTACCTATTTTCTGTGAAATTGAATGCAATGTTTTACACACTCTCCAGAAAATTTTTTATTGTCATTTTAACACTTGTTAATAGATACATTGATACCTAAATTGCCATTTTCTGCAAATCTCTGTGCAGTTCTTGTGTCAAAGACTAGGCAGTCCTTCTTTATAATGGCTATTTCAATTTCCTCATGAATAGATAGAGGAGTGGCTTCCCAAGTCAATCGCTGCTTATGATCAGTTAGCTCAAGTCTGTAAGCAAAATTTTCAGCTTGCTTGCATGTTCCTGTCAGCTGTAGGATGGAAAAAAACTGCTGCTACCCCTCATGTTTTTCCTTTTCTCCAAGACTATCATAAAATGAAAGCCATAACAGGACTGGATCATCACCCAGTCTAGAGCCCTGGAAAGATTGATGTTTGTAGCAAGGAAAATTATATCCTCTCCCTTCAGGGTTGCAACAAATGGGTGTTGATTCTTTAGATGTGGGATGACAACATCCAAAGCGCCTTGCCACTTACAGAAAGTACCTGGGCAGGGGCAGGGGCAAGGCTGAAACTCACATAGTGCTTCATGGCTTACTTTTCCTTGGGGTGGCAGAGTTGTTTCACATCCATAAGGGGCATATTTGCAAGGAAAAAGTACTGAAGTGGCCAGTTTCTCCAAGGCCAAGTTGCGAATGGATCCCAATGGGCCCCTGCAGGTTGGACAACAAGTGAGCTTTGGGTGACAGTTGCTACACAGAAGATGGCCACTGTGACACTGGAATATGGGTGGTAATGCACAGTCAAAGCAGATGGGACACTCAAAAAGAGTGGCTAAATCATTATTGGATGCAGTTGTGCCCCTCAGGGTGGGCTCCCTCTGGGATGTTGTGCATTCAGAGGCCCCAGTAGGTAACTCTGTTGTATTCTGCTGGCTCATTTCTGTGGGCAAAGAGTGCGCCAGGGACCCTGGCCCTGTTCACACTCCCTCTCACGCTCTACAGTTCCCCTGAAGTGCCACTACCTCTTCCTGTGCTGAAACCTACTTGGCACTATAGGGAAACAGGTCTGCTGCTGCTGCTGCTGCAGCTGCCTTGGGCAGCAGCCACTGCCACTGGCCAGCACAACCACCACAAAAGCTTCCTTTGTTACCCCTGGTTACAGCAGCTGTTGTCATTTCCGGGACCTTAAGTCCCGCCCCCAAAGGTTGCCATTTCCTGGTTCTCCAGCTGCTCCCCCCTCCCCCCACCCCGTGCAACCCCACCCCCCACAGCCATTGTCATTTCCGGGTCCTAGAGCCTCCCCACTTCATGCTTCCACTAAATACTACACACCAAGGTAGGCTTCTAGAATTTTCACTTGGTTCATTTGAACAATAGTATTTAGTTCTTTGCCAAAATTGACAATTTAGTCTTTTCTTGAATGTATTAAGCACAATTATTTGAAATTCTTCATCTGGAAGCTATCTCAATCCTTTAAAGTATGTTTGTGTTGTCTATTATCTCTCTTGATTTTTAAATTTATTTTGCCTTGTTTGCTCATATGCCTGGTTAGTTTTGGTTGAGTGGCAGACATTGTATCTGAAAAACTATAATAGAGATGGATTGAGGCCTCAGCTTTTAAAATTTTTATCCAGAAAGGATTTATGCTAATTTCAGGCAGGTGGTTAGGGGCACTAGCAATCCATTATCACCTAAATTCAGTGCAAGTTTGGGGTAATTTGATGCTGGCCACTTGAAGGCTGATTTAGCCTTCCTTTCAGTGTGTATACATTCTCAGTTGGAACCCAGTATCTGAGGGTTTATCTAGGGTTCCCCTCAATGATGGGTCCTGAATTCAAATGTTTGTTATTTTAGTTTATTGCACTTGTTAAAATCTCAGCTGTCTCTCAGATGACTCTTCTGTAATGACCTGATGAGAAAAACAGCCTCTCTTGGTTTTCTCTTTCTCCTGCATCTTGGCTCCATTATACTTTATTGCCTTATTAGGTCTTGGATGCCTTCAAATATATATATTATTTATATTTTATCACAATTTTCTTGTTTTCAGCAGGATATTTGGTCTGAATTAGTCTTCCTTAACTAGAAGCAGAATCAGTCAATTTCTTCAGTAAATATTTATTGATCATTTCCTATGCATCAGGTACTGAACAGAGTAATGAAACTGAAACTCTTGAATTGATTAGAGAGGATTTTGCCATCATGGAGCTTACAGGCAAATGTAATGCATTGATAAAGGTAATTATAGGATGATCTGTAGCACTAAGAAGGAATACCTGACCCAGACTTTTGAAATCAAGGAACAGTTATTGGACAAAGCATCTTTTCACCTTAGACCTGAAAAATAAGTAAGAGTTGTCTAGATAAGACTGTTTTAGGCAGAAGGAATAACATGTACAAAGAACTGGAAGAGGTGAGAGAGAACATAGCATATTCAGGGAACAGAAAACTCTATAAAACTATAGTTATCAAGACAGTATGATACTGGCATAGGCTAAGCATATCGGTCAATGGAACAGAATTGATTATATATTAACAACCCTGACATTTATGGTCAGTTGATTTTTGACAAATGTACCTAGGCAATTCATTGGGCAAAAAGATACTCTGTTCAACAAATGATGCTGGGACATTTGTATATCCACATGTAAAAAGTTCAGTTTAGACCCTCACTGTATACCATGTCCAAAAATTAACTTATGAAATAAAGGAAACTGGAATTTTGGTGGTGAGCATGCAATAGAGTTTACAGATACCGAATTATATTGTACACCTGAAATTTATGTAATATTATTGACCATGTTACCTCAAATTAAATTTTAAAATGTATGATAGACATAAATGTGTCAAAACAATAAACCTTTTAGATGAAAAAATAGGGGAAACTTTTCAAGACTTTGGACTGGACAGAACTTCTTAGGTATGACACCAAAAACAGAGTCCCTCACTCCCTCCCAAAAAGATGAAACTGATAAACTGGACCTAAAAAAAATTGTTTTTCAAACAACATTTAAAAATGGAATAAATGTGACAGACCACAGGAAAATATTTGCAAAACATATTCAATAAACAATTTATACCCAGCCCAGGCTGGGTGGCTCAATTGATTGGATCATTGTACCAATGCACCAGGGTTCCTGGTTTGATCCCTAGTCAGGACACATACAAGAACCGACCAAGGAATGTATAAATAAGTTAAACCTCTCTCTCTCTCTCAATTAATACATTAAAAAACCAGATTTTATATTTAGAATTTATAAAGGGCTCTTGGAACACAATGAAAAGACAACCTGAACATAAATGGGCAAAAGATAATAACAAATAGTTTAGCACAGAAGTTATTCAAATGGCTAAATAAATATATGAAAGAGTGCTCAGCATCATTATCCATCAGGGAAATGCAAATTAAAACCACAATGGAGACAAATACCATGTGATCTCAGTTATATGTAGAATCTAAAAAAATTAAAAAAACTAAACTCATAGCTAGAACAGATTGTTGGTTGCCAGAGGTGAAGGGTGAGAGGTGGGCAAAGTGGGTGAAGGGAGTTAAATGGTACAATTTTCCAGTTATAAATGTCAAGGAGATGTGTACAGCATGGTGACTGTAGTTTATAATACTGTATTGCATATTTAAACGTTGCTAAGAGAATTGATCTTAAAAGTTCTCATAAGAAAAAAAAATTCTGTATCTATGTATGGTGACTATGACTAGACTTATTGTGGTGATTATTTAGCAATATGTACAAATATTTTTTCAACCCTGTCTTCTAATTCACTGATTTGATCCTCAGCTTCCCTAATCGACTGTGTATTTCTTCCAATGTGTTCTTTATTTGTACTATGTCATTCTTTATTTCTGTTTGCATAGTCACTATATCTTTTCTCATGCTGTTGAGCATCTTTGCCATCATTATTCTGAACTCTATATCAGATAAATTTCTTATCAGCATTTCATTTATCTATCCTTCTGTAGAATTCTCTTGTTCTTTCATTTGGAGGTTGTTTCTTTGTCTCCTCATTTTGGCTGCCTGTTTGGGTTTGTGACTATGTATTAGGTAGATCTGGTACGCCTCTCAATCTCTAGTGTAGGACAGTATCAAACACTCTTTCTGACTAATTAGATCAGGCAAAGATTCAAAGCCTCCAGAGACCGCCTCTGTCTACAGACTGATAGGATTTTGTCTTGAATTGCCCTCAGGCAGTCGTCCACAGGTGTGGCAAGAGATTGTTGTTGTTGGGTTTTTTTTTCTAACTGGGTGGGGCAATTGCTTCTGCCTGGAGGCTAATTGTTATTCTCAGTCTCTTTTTTAAAAATATATTTGTATTAATTTCAGAGAGGAAGGGAGAGGGAAAGAGATAGAAACATCAGTCATGAGAGAGAATCATTGATTGGCTGCCTTCTGCAAGCCCCCTACTGGGGATCATGCCCACAACCTAGTCATGTGCTCTTTACTGGAATTGAACCTGGGACCTTTCAGTCTGCAGGCCAATGCTCTATCCACTGAGCAATACCAACTAGGTCTATTCTTAGTCTCTTAATGGGCCTGAGCAATTCTGCACTGTGGGGCAAAGTATTTTCCAATTGGGTGGATCAACTGTCTTCCCCTCAGGTAAGGTAGCCTGTATAGGAAATGTCTGCATGAGAAAGATGACCTTTGCAGCATGAGATGATGACTCAGCACAGGAAACCAGGGTGTCTGCCTTTTGAGCTCTAACCTAGAGCCCCTGATCCTGGCTTCTGCTCACACAGCTCCAGTCCATTACGCCCTCCCTCTGCTGGAGCACAAGGTGGGTGGCTTGACAGGGAATTTTGTGCGTTGGCCCTTTAAGAGGGTACCTGAATTTCCAGCCATCTCTCCCTGGCAGACAGCAACCCTGCTGCTCTTCACAGACAGATGTTATGTGGGTACCCTTCTCAGTTCTGGTGTTCTCTGTTGGGGGGCCCAGTTGGGGATTAGACACCAGAGTTTTCAGTGGCAACCCCTACAGCTGAGATATCTCTCAGGAACTTCAGTTGCTGTCTGTGGGAGCCTGCCAGCCTTTTCGCGCCTCCGCCTCTCCTAGCAGTCTCTACACAGTCTCCACTTTTCGTCTTCTGTTATCAGGGTTCTCTCCATCAAGTCTTCTGTTGATTATTCATGAAGTTTTTCTGTATTTTAGTTGTAATTCCAGTTTGGTCCTGGGAGCATGTCTGTGCAGCATCCACTTACTCCACCGCCATTTTTAATCTCTCTGCAATATGTACAAATATTGAATCATGTTTTATATCTGAAACTAATATAATGTTGCATGTCAACTATTCCTCAGTAAAAGTAATAAAATTTAAAAAACCACAATGGAGCTCTGGCCAGTGTGCCTCAGTTGGTAGAGCTTCATATTCTGTGCACCGAAAGGTCATGGGCTTGATCCCTGGTCGGGGTGGGTGTGGGAGGCAGCCAACCAATGTTTCTCTTTCAGGTCAATCTCTCTCTCTCCCTTTCTCTCTCTCAAATAAATCAATAAAACATATATTTTTTTAAAAAAAAGATGAATCTTTTTTTATGAAAGCACAATGGAGATTCTATTTCACATTTACTAGAATGGCATAATTAAAAAGGCCATTAAGAAGTGGAGATGTAGAGAAATGGAAACCTTCATACATTGCTGGTGGGAATGTAAAATGATGTAGCTATTTTGGAAGTCAGTTTGGTAATTCTTCAATAAGTTAACTCAGAGTTACCACATGACCCAGCACTACTACTACTAGATTTACCCAAGATAAATGAAAGCATATATTCACACTAAAACTTCTACAAAAATATTCATAATAGCATTATTCAGGATAGCCAAAAAGTGGAATGAGCCCAAATGTCTGATGGGTAAACAAAATATAGTATAATATTCTATACAATGGATTATTATTCAGCCATAAAAAGGAATAAAGTATGGATGCATGCGATAACAT